CTCCTCCTCCTCCTCCTCCTCCTCCTCCTCCTCCTTGGAGTCCACAAGTCTTCAAGTTGCCAAGTTTGGAGACCCCTGGCCCAGATACTGTCCAACTTGGCTGTTGCAATCAAGGTTGAGTCACAGTGGAATGAATGATATAGCCCCCCCACCCACCTTCTCTTGTCAAAAAAAATTTGTGGTTCGGTTAACTGTGGAAAGTGTGTGCGAAGTTCTGGCCAGGAATGGTTCTTCTCATGGTTTCCTGGGAGACCACCACTCCGCCTCCATAAACCGTTTCAACTATTCTTAACCAGCCCTGGGCTAGGAACGTAGGCTTCCTGTTTTTCAAATCATTGCCTTCGTTAATAATTCACACTTCCCTTAGCTAGTTAAGGAGGTGGCAACTCGTAAAAACATTAATTTGCAACTTTGGAACACTACTATTCCTGATTTAGCCCTTGCTCGGGTATCTTCGATCGATACTGACTTAGCTATTAATTTTAGGCTCCTTTACTCGGTGACTGAAGGAATGGAAAGGATTTTGTTTTGCTGAAATTAACAAAGGGAAGAGCCGGGGAGCCAGAAGGAGCATCAATAATAACCATCATCATATTCAGGGAAAAAAAATATATGCCAGCTTTTGTAGAACCATAAAATTAGAGTGGGCAACCATAAGGGGGAGGATATGAGGATGCTTCAACCTTTATGAAGTCCAAAGAAAAATATACCCCTGGATAAGTGATGTCCATTACCTGTAAGGTTAACAAGATAAATTGCAGCTGTGTCGAAGAAAGCATCCATTTGAACAGAGAAGCTTCTTTTGGCGCTGACTAGATTCTCCTAGAGAAACTCACATGAAAAACACATGGAATTAAATAACTGTTGTGGCCTGTCGCTCGCCAGCCCCTCCACCAGCCGAATCAGAGGAGGAGGAAGTGGCGTGGGGGTCAGGGTTCAGCATCAAGGCAACCGGGGAGCTCCGAGGGGGGAGACATCTTCTTCAAGACTTCCAGTGTTGGGGCATTCACAACTTCTGGAGGCAACTTCTGTTCCACTGATTTAATTGTTCTCACTGTCAGGAAATTTCTCCTTAGTTCTAAGTTGCTTCTCTCCTTGATTAGTTTCCATCCATTGCTTCTTGTTCTGCCCTCAGATGCTTTGGAGTATAGTTTGACCCTCCCCCACTTCTTTGTGGCAACCCCTGAGATATTGGAAGACTTCTATGGGGCTGCCCCAAAGAAGAGGGAGTCAAGCTATTCTCCAAAGCTCCTTCAGGCAGAACAAGAAGCAATGGATGGAAACTAATCAAGGAGAGAAGCAACTTAGAACTAAGGAGAAATTTCCTGACAGTGAGAACAATTAAATCAGTGGAACAGAAGTTGCCTCCAGAAGTTGTGAATGCCCCAACACTGGAAGTTTTAAAGAAGAGATTGACAGCCATTTGTCTGAAATGGTAGAGGGTTTCCTATTTATTGTTTCTTG